AAAAAAAAAAAAAAAAAGAAAGCAAGAAAGCCCCAAGAGGAGCTGTGAATGTTGTACTACGAATAATATGGGATCATTTCATTACATTAAAAGAAATACAAATTCCACTTAAATCTGCTATAAATGAGATGAGTCAAACTCTCAGCCTCGACATACTAACTTCTTGAGCCATGGTTAGCAGCAACGAGAATTTAAAGTGTCAAAAAATGCATAAACCTTGCATCTTTAGAAGTCAGCTATATTTATTGAAGAGCAGCAAGTACTATTTGCTAAGCAGTAACAAGACTTACTGCTTACAGAGCTGTATTTTTTCTAAGTGCTGTATTCAGTTGTAGGTCATATTCCAGCTAAAGTGGCACCGTTTCAGTGAAAGAGAGGTAGAGAAGGCAGAGAAGACTTGGCAATTAGTTTCATCTGTTAGATGTTCTTTTTTTAATCAGTGTTTTTACTGCAGTTTTTATTTCAGCCACACAAATACTATTGTTCTGAAATAGCTCTTTTGGCTAGAGGAGCCAAAAGCTGTAATAGAGGCTTAGGAAAGACCTGAGGAAAATAAGACAACTTAACAAAGAGTTGTCGATACACTGATGCTTGGTGTGTGAGGACCACACAGAAAGAGATGAATGCTACGGTACACAGGAACAATTGCCAGTTCACCAGCACTGTAGATTTTGGTGGGATAAATCACAGAAGATTGAAAGATTAAGGTAGAAGAGCAGAAAGAAAATGAAGGGAGGGAATGTACTATGTAATGAGAAAGAAGAAGCTATCTTAGTTACAGTTTGAGTGAAGCTAAAGGAAAAAAGGACAGGTGATGGTATGACAAAGGGCTGACAGAAACCATAGACTTGGGAATCGATTTTAGAACAGGCTCTGCGGGTAAAGTGGTGGTTAAACTACCGGTATATCTTTTGGAAAAAACAATATGGCAAGACATACAGGTCAGCAAGCTTCTTTAATATGAAGGGGACAATCGTTTTGTTTCAGAAGGGGGAAGAAATAAGGGAGCAGTATTTCAAATATAAAGATGTTCAAAGAGGCTAATGATGAAGCCTGGATGAAAACATATGGATGAAAAAGTTACACAATATTGAATATAATAACTGATGCTCACAGTTCTTAATATTTACAATATTTAAGGGAGCTACATATATAAAAGGAAGAGCATCTAAGTTTTTACTAGCTAAAAGTACTTGCAAGCACAAAAACACACGCTCTTCACGCGTTGTCTCCTTGCGCGTGCAGTTTACTTTCAGGTGCCCACACTGCTTCTTGGTGGCCGGGCAAATCATTTGGGTTTGGATCTAGGCTTCTGTCCAGTGCCTGGACAGGATGTTCCTTGGATGTTCACACAAATATCCACAAATGGCCACAAATTCTTTCGGGTGATATAGTCTGTAGTTTTTCAAGATTTCTGTCACGTACCATCTCTTGATCTCCAACACCATTGCTCTATCTGAGGCTTAGCAGCAATGTTACTGTTTCTCAGTTTTAACAGTGGCATTGCTGTTGTGTGAGACCAACTATCTGTTGCAGCTGTTTTTCATGTCTCAGCAATTTAGTATTGAGGATGGGACCAGCTGAACCTGCACGAGACCATTTTTCTTCAGTGAGATTCCATAGGTTATAGCTATCCAGTGCCATGCACAAACATTCTTACACACGTTCTGCAAGTACAGCCTATATTTGTTCTTAATAACTACATACCGATCCTGACAAAAATGTAAGTTCACAGCTTCTGGAACAAAAAGAAGTGAGAGCACCAATTAACAACAGACCTCAAAAAACAAACAAACAAAAACAAAAAACCCTGAAAAATAGCAAGTTAAGCAAACATTTATAAAGGATATGGGGGAGCTGGCAGTTTCTTAGAGAGTCTGTGCTAAAGGCAGAATAGCCCACTTTCCTGGAGAAGTCCTTCATGCCGTATTTTGTTGCCGTTTCCAGGCTAAATATGCGCTAGTGTTCTAACCTAAAGATACAGGTATTCACAGTTAACTGAATCATCCTGTCAAAAAAGACCTTAGTCTTTTGAAAATTTCTGATTTGAAAAGCCATCAGAACCACAAACTTTTCATACATCAACAATGAAATTAACAAAGATGGCATATGAGATACCGAACTGTTCTTACTAAGGATGTCTATTCACTGAAAAATGAGGCTTACTCAGTGTTGTTCATCAAACATATTTGATACTAAACAATGGAAGAATGAAGAAAATACAGAGCTAAGTTGAGACAAGGTAGATAGCGCATGCTGCTTGTTTTGTACTAGGTTGAGTGTTCCCTTCTGGCTAAACAAATTCTTACATTCAATGCAGTCAGTGTGCACACAAAACCCACAGGCCCACAAAGCCTTTGAGAGTGCATATTTGAAATTTGACTTTATTTAAAAAAAAAAAAAAAAAAAAAAAAAGGCATGTCAAATGTTGATGCCAGTAAGTTCCATGGAAACAGTCTGTCTTTGAGCTACCAAGAGAACAGAATTCAAATTTTTGGTACCCTGTTCCATACAAAAGAAAACCCGTGCAACTTACTCAAAATATACAATGGTTAAAAAATTACTTGGTTCTTGTATGTATATAATGCATTCCTGTTGGATGTATATGTATATAGACTCCTGAAATTTTAAATTAGCGCTAAAAAGATTACATTGGGGCAATTTTCTCTAGCATCTTATCTCTGTTTCTCTCATGTGTGTATGCTAACGTATAGGAACACTTGCCAAGTCATTGCCTGAAAAACCTTGGCTTGCTTTGAAGACAAGTCCTTGAATCTTCAGCTAATGCCAGACAAAACAACAACCAACATCCACAAAGTGAAAACAAATACTGTCCAAATTTCAACAAAATACACTGTTTCTCATAAGAATTAGGTTTGAATCTACCTAGAAATTTTCTGTTTTAGTTTCAGGCTCAGCTACTAAGATAATTTAGATTAATGTTTGGGAGCTGCATTCTGTTCCCAGTCATAGCTATACAATTCCGTTGTATCTATAACAGTAGTACCAGCGAGGTGTAACTATGAGCACGATGGCACTAGTAGCACTGGCTTTAGCCTGATACCGTTGTATGCGTTCTCATAAACTTAAAATAGTCATTATTTCATAAACATCAGTTACAGATATGGCCATGCACCTTTGTATCTCTTGTAGGTGTGTCTGGTTCCAGTGAATTTGGTGTAATAGCAGGCTTATTAGCTCTCCGGTAAGGCTGGGAGTCTAATGAGCGCAATGCTGATACCATGCCTCTGGTTAGTAACTGCTTTTGGAGTCACAGAAATGTTGATTGGAAGGGACCTCTAGAGGTCATCTCATCCAACTGCCTGCTCAAAGCAGCCCAAGCACAAACACTAGGTCAGGTCAGCTGTGGCTTTCTCTAGCCAAGTCTTGAAAACCTCCAAGGATGAAAATACGGTAACCTTGTTGGGCAACCTGTGCTGTACTACTGTCCTAAGGGGAGGAAAAAAAGAAAAAAGGTTCATTCTGACCCTCCAAAGCTCCTAATTTTTGGCTGATGCCCCTTGTTATATTACATGGCACCACTGAGAAAAGGTGGCTCAGTCAGTTTTGTCACCACCTTTCAAGTAGCTGTAGGAGGCTAAGGGGAAACCCAGTTGCACCCTTTTCGCCATACTGCTTTGTATGTTTCCTCCTTAATTGTTTTTGACTATTTTAGAATTGTTATGTTGATAAAACAGGCCTTAAATACATTGTTCAAGACCCCAAATATAATAAGTGGCTTTGTCTGGAAATACACACTTAATTTTTTTCATTTGCAAATACCGTTTTATATGCAAATTATATTTTTAACTATAATTTTATGTTATTTGTTTTCTGCTAAAGCCAGGCAGTGTGCACATGAAATCACTTTTAGAAATATTAACAGTATGGATAATAATGCATAAATGATAACAGTAACAGCACTCGACTTTGCTGCACTCATATCCTATACAGAATGATATTTATTAGTAGGAAAAAGTAACCCTCAGTTGTATATTTTCTCCTGTTAATGAACACAGACAGGGGAACAGTCATAGCAAAACAACTGT